ATTCCGCTCAGCAGAACTATAGCATCTTTGAGAAGGAACTTCTTGCTATAGTCCTCGCTTTGGAGCATTGGAAGATTTACCTTCAGGGTGCGAAGCACCAGGTAACGATCCTTACTGACCATGAGAATCTAAGGACATTTACGACAACCAAGGAGCTCAGTAACCGGAGACTCGCTAGGTGGTCACAAATCCTCGCGGGATTTGACATTGTGATTCGTCATGTCAGCGGAACCTCAAATGCGCGAGCAGACGCGCTTAGCCGGAAACCAGGCTACGAAGGAGATAAAGAGTATAAGAGGATTGCGATCTTAAAGACTCTTGAGAACGGAGACCTCACCCCTACGATTCACGAAATCGCTGCTACAACCAGGGAGAGCCCTTGGGACAACAAAATCAAGGCAGCTCAGGACAAAGACGGAATCGAAGAATTTAAGAATGGGAAGACCTGGGTCCCGGACTCATACGCAAAAGAATTTATTGCGGAATACCATGCGGCACCGGCCCATGGACATCAGGGAGTTCGCCGAACTCTCCAGCGAATCAAACGGAACTACCACGTCGACAGGGTAGCTGCCGTAGTCAAGGAAGTGATAGCGGAGTGTGATACCTGTATTAGGAACAAGGCTTCCCGCCATGCACCTTATGGACAGATGGGCACTACTCCAATACCACCAACCCCTTGGAAGTCGATCTCTTGGGATTTCATTGTAAAACTACCGAAATCCAAGGATCCGATGACAGGAGTCGAATACGATTCGATCCTAGTTATCATGGAAAGGCTGACAAAATACATGATCTTGGTACCATACAAAGAATCAAGTACAGCCGAGGAATTGGCATTCGCATTCCTCAAGGAAGTAGTCTCGAAACATGGACTACCAGAAGAGATAATCTCAGACAGAGACAAGCTCTTTACCTCATTGTTCTGGAAAGCCCTCACGGAGCGCTTAGGAGTGAAAAGGAAGCTGTCAACAGCCTTTCACCCCCAGACAAATGGAGGGAACGAACGCATGAATCAAGTGGTTGAGACATACCTTCGTTGTTATGTAAATTACCAACAGGACGATTGGGTTGAACTGCTACCACTAGCGGAATTTGCATATAACAGTTCAACAACGGAAACAACACTTGTTACGCCATTCTACGCCAACTTTGGGTACGAATTGGAAGTGTATCGAGAACCACTGGCTACGACGACAGACAATCAGCTTGCTCGAGTACAGGTCTCGAAAATCAAGGGGCTACACAAGGAACTTTCAGAGGACCTGAAGTTTATAGCCGAACGAAACGCACACTACTACAACAAGAAACGTAGTCAGGAGCCAACGTTAAAAGAGGGGGATAAAGTCTACCTAGTACGGAAAAACATCGATACGAAGAGACCAAGCAACAAACTGGACCACAAGAAACTTGGACCATTCAAAATCAAACGAGTCAAAGGACCCTTGAATTACGAACTGGCACTACCAAACACAATGAACATCTTTCCAGTATTCCACATATCCCTGCTCGAACCAGCACCACCGGGAGCACCACCAGCCCCATTCACAGAGATCCAACCAGTTAACCCAAACGCAACGTATGAGGTCGAGAGGATTCTTGACTGTAGGCTTGTCAGGGGACAGCTCAAGTACTTGATCAAATGGTTGGACTACCCACACTCGGANCTTGGACCATTCAAAATCAAACGAGTCAAAGGACCCTTGAATTACGAACTGGCACTACCAAACACAATGAACATCTTTCCAGTATTCCACATATCCCTGCTCGAACCAGCACCACCGGGGGCACCACCAGCCCCATTCACAGAGATCCAACCAGTTAACCCAAACGCAACGTATGAGGTCGAGAGGATTCTTGACTGTAGGCTTGTCAGGGGACAGCTCAAGTAAGCTCGAACCAGCACCACCGGGAGCACCACCAGCCCCATTCACAGAGATCCAACCAGTTAACCCAAACGCAACGTATGAGGTCGAGAGGATTCTTGACTGTAGGCTTGTCAGGGGACAGCTCAAGTACTTGATCAAATGGTTGGACTACCCACACTCGGAGAACACTTGGGAACCCAGAAAGAACATCAACCAGTACTCGGAGGAACTTCAGGAGTTCCACCATCGAAGCCCAGGTTTGCCCACATCTCCGAATCAGGAGGGAAAGCTTCGAAAAAGGCCGGGTCGAGAACGAGAGGATTCTTGACTGTAGGCTTGTCAGGGGACAGCTCAAGTACTTGATCAAATGGTTGGACTACCCACACTCGGAGAACACTTGGGAACCCAGAAAGAACATCAACCAGTATTCGGAGGAACTTCAGGAGTTCCACCATCGAAACCCAGGTTTGCCCACATCTCCGAATCAGGAGGGAAAGCTTCGAAAAAGGCCGGGTCGAGACCCAGGTCAAGGGCGGGGTCGGAACTAGAGGGCGTAGGAAGGGACGCCAGCCTGGCGGCCTCCTCCTCCATCTTCTTCTTCTCCTCATCTTTCTCCTTCTCTTTCCTTTCCTTCTCCTCAGCAACGTCGAGCTCGTCAAGCGTTCTGAGGCCGCGACGGACCATATCGATACCACGCTCACGGAGTTCTTGTTGACGTTGCTCGAGTTCGCGAACTCGAGCTAGACCAGCCATGGCTGCTTCAAAAGCCATATCTCTTTCAAATTTTAAACGCTCCTCCTCGAGCCGGATGCTCTGCAGATCGTCGTTGGCCGACTGGAGGGCGTCGCATCTCACACCTCGACGAACGCACTCCCCGCATTTCTGCGACTTGTTGTTGAGAACAAAGCATTTTCGATTGTAGCGACGACAGTTGGAACAAGGCATGATTTTAGAACCGTACGATTGAATGGCTTCGAATAGTAGGATGCGTTGTTTATATTTCTGAGCTTTGTTGGACATGATGAAAGGGAAAGAAGGCCGCTGGCCTTCTGACGATATTTCTTAGGTTGTACTTAAAGCGTGAGGACACGCTAGGCTAAGAAGGGGATAGTGTCACGAATCACGTGTTCACGTGATAAGAGAAGACCAGGCGGCGTCCTGAAAGCTCAAGCACTATCAGCACTCTTATAGCAAATAGGGACGCTTGGGCTAGCTAAGCGATCCAGGGATTTCATTCGGTTAGTATCACGTGACAGGGTCACATGATCGTTGGAGCTTGCAGGAGCTTGCGTTGGAGCTTGAGGATCTTGGGCTCCCCGTAGGCTCCACGAGAACGAAGGTTCTATATAAGACTGGCACTTCTGCCTTTAGATAGGAGCTTCGTGCTCAACTTAGTTATCAATCTTATCATATCAGTTTGACATCTCTGATACAAGTAACGAGTTCACTTCCAAGTGAACAACCCGATAGTCTTCTTCTTATCATAGCATACCAACCAGCGAACACCCAGCCAAGTTTAGTTAGCCAGTTTGAGTATTCGTTACATACAGCCCCTTCGCACAATTAGCGAAAAACATGGGTTTTATGTAAATAGTGGCACTTTTAGCTTAACATATAGTCCTAGGGTGTTACGCCACTTTTCTGCTTTTTAACCCTAACCCTAAGGCCAAATGATTTAGGCATAAAGCTGAAAAGTGCCCTGTTAAGCCATTTAATAGTAGAAATAAAAAAACAAACTACGGAAATGTACAAAACTGCACAAAGGGGTCTGAATTCGCATAAAAAGATCCTGCTAATTAAGTGAAGGGGCTGTACGTGAACGGATGCGAAAAATAACTTCCTCTACTTACTAATTATAAATCACGAAACTCAACTAGCGTGATTATTTTTATTTAACCCTAAATTTACGTCAGGTAGATAAAGTCGAAATAGTAGGACGTATATCGAGATATCAAACACTAGTTATTTGGCCTCGGAGTACTATCCTTATAGTGAAATACGTTTTTTATCTATAGTGAGTGAGATACGTAATCAACTAATCAGGGAATAAATAAAATTTCGTATTTGTTTTAAAAGTTTTTCTTTTTTTCTTTTTTTCTTCCTTTCTTTTTTTGAAATAAAGGCTAATCCCCAAACACACAAAAAAGGAATCCCAAAACTTAACTCAAAACCGCAAAACTCAAGGCCGTACCTTTAATCCTGTTATTCCAAGGAGAAGTGCTACGGTAGGCCTATAGAAAATCCCACGGATAGGTAGCAGGGATTTTTAAAGTTAACATGCTTACGTGCGGCGATGTGTACCGCTCACACCAGTGCCCAACTACATTAGCTAATCCTGGGTCTGGTGTGAATGGTTGGGGGAGTCTTAATAGTGTCTATAAAAGTATCTTGGGGGTTTGTAGGTCAGGTGATAGGGGATTGGGGTGAGGGGTGAGTGAATCTGGTTGATGAAGGCAGTGTTCGAAATGAGTTGAGTTGTGTTAAGTAGTAGCACCTACTTAATGTACGGAGGACGCGGTCAAAACTGCGGGCCCTATAGTGTCTAAGCTCTGAAGCAAGGCCCTGATTGGCCAGATAGCCCCTGTAGCCAAGTTTGATAGACGCTAGGGGGTTACAGGTGGCTCTATAGGCTTAACACAGGGTATTAACTGGGGCAGGATATAGGGGCTAGCCTTGGTGGTAACAAAAGAGTGCGATTCAGATCCACCTCTCGCCTCGATTATCCACTTAAATTTAGGGGGTAACAACAAGAATATAGTGGACTAGATCGCTTCAGGGCACTCACGGCCGTCCTTCAGGGTCTCCCTTCAGGGCTTAGACCCTATAGTGCCCGCAATTTTGACCGCGTCCTCCGTATGTTTGGCTCGGAGTGTAAAGGGTCTAGATAGCTCGGGTCTCTCCCCCCCCCTTGTCACTTTCTGATATACCTCCCCATGAATCGGACAATGCAATTGGCTTAGAAGGTTATATTATGGGGCTATACCCTGCCTATAACGAGTCGTATACAAGCGCGAGCTGTCCAGACCCTTTACACTCCGAGTCCACCATACAAATTAGAGTTTGGTACTTAACACGAGTCTAGACTCGTATCGAGTTCTCAAACCATTTGGCTCGTATATTGAATACAAAGCATTTACTACTTCGAATACAGTGATTTGGCTTTTTCGTGAGTGTGCTATATAAAGTAGCGATACGGCTTTTTCACGTTTCAACGAGTATATCTCTACCTATAACTCGCTTATCCAACCCTACATATAAACACTACTATACTGTGACAGTTTTTGATTTAGTGAATAAGGGTTCGCTTAGCGAAGTTGCAGGTGTACCCTTCCGTAGATAGACAAATACCTAAGGAGTGCGAAGAGCGTCTCTCTTCCCTCCTTGCGAACAATCTATTCCTTGATCCCCACCATAACATATACTACCACTATAAATATATAAGTAGATATTTGTATTAATAATAACTGCTACGATATGGTTCTAGCCAGGACTCCTCTCCTGTCTTCGCTGCCTAACCCCCTGTCTCGGTTGCCTAGTATTCTAGCGGCTCCCACTCGGTCAGGGTCGTCTTATAAGACCCCCACGTGACTCCCTACTCCCTCTTAGCTAACTTCTCTCTATTCCAGCTTCTCCATTCTCCATTATACCCTCGTCATCTAACAACAACGAAAATTCATACGCGTATTACTGTAGGAAAGTAAGGTATATAATTCTTTTAGCTACTATATACCTAGCGTATATTTCTCATCTAAATCAAACCTACGGTTCCTCTTTTTAGTACCAAGTAACAATTTACTCGTCTCGGGTTCGTATATACGACGGGGGCGGGGGTACGGTATAGAATCGGTTACCCAATCGGGTAATAACGAGACTATTCGCTCGAGGTCACTATCATTAGCAAGTAGTATAGTATTTATATTAAACAGCCCCTAGGGCGCTTATAAGGCTATTCGCAACCTCGTAAGCGATACCTAGGCTGCCTACCGCTTAATTAAGGCCTAACTAATCATACAAAATAGGTGGTGGCGGCAATCAAAGGGAAAAGCCCGTGCTAGCGTATAAACAACAATCCTACTAAATCGTGGTTATTGTTGTTAATGGGGTGAAAAGGACAGATAACTCGGAACAAGGTATGTGAGGTGCTTAGTTACCCTCGCTACGTAAAACACATCATAGAACCCTATTCAAGCCAAACAACATTCAACTTAAATACCGTCAAGTATCCTCAATACCCGAATAAACTTTCCGTAAGTTCCATCTATTTAAAAGTCCGGTATCAAAGCCGAAAATCGCAACTCTAATAATCCCAAGCCAAACATACCCTCGAATAGAGTATGATATCGTCTCCTAATATAAACCAAACACGCTCTTACCTCAGGGTAGTTTTCAGACCTACTTATTTCAACTCGCCAAGTGTTCGAGTGAGTCTAAGTATTACTCGAGTAGCGGACCGAGCCTCGGATAGGCGGTCCGACGACTGAGCGACTCGGCTTTAGTTGGTCCCCTGTACTCGTAAGCTAGGGGAGGAGATAAAGGTATGTGTATTTTTCGACTTGGGGAGAGATGTATGGGATGTTTTTGTGGTAATATACCTACCTACCTAAGGAATGTAAAAGAAAAGGAGATGTAATTCATTCATTCATATCAAATTCATATTCATTCTATCTACCACCCCTCCATAACATGATCCCACATAACCCAACTAACACAACCCAACAGACCAAACTCCAAACCCAACATCTCAAAATCAAAGCAAAAACAAAAATCTAATAATAATAAACCAACAAAACACGCATTCGCCCATTTAGCCTCGCGGCCATGTCATTTCTTTCTTATTTCTCCTCTCTTTTCTTACCCCCTGTTTCTTTTTGTGTGTGTGTGTGTGTGTATGTGTGGAAAATCATAAATGCAGAGGAGATCCTACCAAAAATCTCGTGTGAGAAATCGCGTGGGCGAGGGTTCTTTCTTTCTTTCTTTCTTTCTTTCTTTATTTCTTGTTTTCATATCGTACTGGATCGTGGCTCGTGTCGTGGTTCATTCGTCGTTTCAGGTGGGGGGTTGGTGTTCGTTCTGGTGTCCGTTTGGTAGAGTAAGGAAAGACGTGAGGTGAAAAAGAAAAGATGAAAGAAAGAGGAAAAGAAGGCAAACATCCATCAAACAACCCCCTCCCAAGAGCCTCCCTCTTCTACACACCCTTCGACATCCCCACCCATCCCCACCGGACTCCACGTATCAACCCGATACAACGCCCACACCCATCCATCACCCATCATAGCAGCCATCCTCCCCTCCTCAATCCAAGCCCGCACCTCCCCCTCTCCTCCCTCCTTCTTCTGCACTTCAAAGCTCGAGTACACCACACATCCCTTCTCCCTCAACGCCTCATTCTCCTTGGTCGCGAAATCCGTGTCCACCTCCCCCCAGCTCGGGTCCAGCAACGGGCGGAAATTCGAGACGTGGTGGTAAGCTGTTGCTTTGGGGATGTGGGCGTGAGCGAAGAAGACGAGCACCAGGTGCGCGGAGAGGGCGTGGGGGTCGGTGGTGAGGTTTGAGGGGGGGAGAGTGAGGGTGTATTTTTTGATGGTGGAGGGGGAGGGGAGGGGCGTGGTGAGGAGGAAGGGGAGGATGGGCGAGAAGATTTGGGTGAGGACTGAGAGTTCGGCTATGAAGGGGGTGGTGTTGAGGTGTTTCTCGCGGTGGGTGCGGGTTATGGCTTGTGGGGAGGTGGGCGTTGCGCGGGGGGGTCGACAGGTCGTGAGGACTTTGTTGGTGAGGATGTTGGTGAGGGCTTCGGAGAGCCAGTGGGAGGGGTAGCCGAGGGAGCGGAGTTGGATGAGGAGGTGGAAGAATGTGGTTATGTTTAGTGGGGAGAAGATGATCCCCGAGACGAAGGAGATGTCGACGTTGAAGGGGAGGACTAGTCGGAAGAACTGTGCGTAGATCCATTTCATGAATGGTTTCTTTGCAAGTAGACGTTGGAATGGTTGTGGTTTGTGGCCCACGTAGGTGTAGGATATGTATCCCGCCATGGGCATCCCATGCATGAGTCCTGCCATGTCAGGACCAAACATCTGACTCATGGGGTGTGGAAGAGCGAGAGAATCATCCGGGCCTTTGTCGACAATGGCTACGTTTGTAAGTTGCATTAGTTGGCTCTCGCTGGTGATGCATTGGTATTCGGCCAAGAAAGCTTCGATGGATTTCCAAGTTCCCCCATTACGAAGAGATGTGGACATGAATACTGACCAGGGAACGTCAGCTAGGAGAGGAGCGAAATAAAGACAGCTTGAGAAGTTGCCGTTGAGGTAATCCCTATTCATATAGTTAGCATGTTATAATAATACCAAGAGTGATGGGACACGCACGGTACGTTACTCAAATGTATCCGGTGGAAGGAAGTAGGGAAACGCTCTGGTCTCTGTTCAAAATCCGAGTCCTCTCCATTCTCACTCTTGAATTCCTCAGTAGTAGGGAAGAGACCAAAACGAAGTCGCTCAGCAAGATCCACGCAATCTCCAAGCACAACCTCAATCTCCAATCTTCCATTCAAAATGACCAAAGCCTTCGCCATCTCAGTGAAGAAAGGGACCATGTAATCATACAATCTCTCGGGATTCTTCACAACCAAAACATCATCGGTAAATTTCTTCGTAGCCTCAAAGGGATCATGTCCAAAACCCATATCTCTCTTGTCTTGCATACTATGATACCAGTCTTCGTCTATCATAGTTGTATTGATATGCCAGTGGTTGCAGAGATGATCACGGAACCTGGGAGCATTGGCTCGTGGCCTGGATTGATACTTTTGCAAAAGCTCAAGCATTACCGGGTCGTACTTTTCGAGAAGCGAGGTGGGTGGTTGGAGAACGAGAGAAGCAAGGTATAGTTCTCGTTCGGCTTTGCATTTGAGACTTACTCCCGAAATGTCTTCTCCCATGGAGTGTATTCCACTTACTTGTCGAGTTCCGGCTTGGATAACCGTTTTGGGTGAGATGAGGGTTTGCGCTGAGCCTTTCCAGGAGATTAGAACTTTGATGTATTCCAAGAAATGTTGCTTGCTGAGATAGAAGAATTTGGATGGCTGAGATCCTGATTGGAGAGCGGATAATGCTTTATCGATAGTTTGCTGCATTCTTTCGAAAACGAATCGAGGAATCATAGGTGCAAGGTAGATGAAGTAAATTGTCGTCAGAACCTCGGTATGCTCCTCGCTTTCCGGATCCAGCTGTGAAAGATCCTCCAATAACATGAAAACGACAAGATCTCTGGTCAGAGCACACTTGTTGATATCATTAATCGTAAAATGATATTTCTTCGTCTTCGTCTTCTCCACCTCTGCAATACCAATAATCGTTCGTAGCATGTTCCTCGCATCACCAATTCCCACAAAGAGGAAAGAAATCAATTCTCTCTTTGCAATGGCCTTTTCATCGACGTCAACTCCAGACTCTTCTTCTTTCATTTTGGCCGTCCATTTTTCCAAGATGTTCTCGGTTGGAGCATCCCACATGGTATAAGCATCATCATGTCCCACATGAAAACACTCTAATCCAGAATGCCTGTAGTACAAATTCAGATCAGCCTTCATCCCACTCCATCACGCCATCACCATGACCAAAGAAAGAGGAAGAAGAAAACTCACAAAGTCTCACGATACCTTCCCAGCTCGCCGAAAATCTTCATCCTCGTCTTTCTCTCCTCTCCATTTTCGACAACTCTACATAAACCCTTTGCTCGATTGACTCTCTCCTCCAACTTCTTGATCTGCTCCTGTTCCTTCACCACCGACTCCGCATCGGCCAACTTCAATTTATGAAGTTTGATAGCTCTCTCGGCGAAAGCAATTGCATTTTCATACTTGCCAATCTCAACAAGCGCTGCTGAGATGTTTCCCAACGGTGCTGGGTCATGTGGTGTTATTTTTGCTGCTTGACGGTATTTGGGAACCGCTGTGAATATTGTCAGATATGATTTCAATTTTGAAGCTAGAATAGGGAGATGGAAAGATGGAAAGATGGGTCGAAATAGGATGGACTCCTCGTCATTCCCAGCAGAGATAAGGAAGGGAGAGGAAATCAAGGACCAACCCTGCATCACATTTCCCGACTTGTAAAGCGCATTCCCCTCCTCCCTCAACTTTCTGGATTCCTCTTGAGTCGTCATTTCGTTCATCCCCATTGACGCTTGATCTCCCTTTGCAATCATGGACCGTTATCTTCTCGTGTGGTTTTCCCAACAAGAATGGCTGTCGTTTCTCCCAAATACTCAGTCCAGCCCGTCAAGAGGAAAAAGTAAAAAAGGCGACGATGATGCAATCCCTCGTCGCTCAGTCCTTATCGTAAACCCAAATTGGAAAGTAAAGGTATTCACTCCGCTACTTGTACAGTACCAGTACTACTCGGTACAATCCAGCACTAACCAACACGCCGGACTCAAACAGGCCAAAAGATAGTCCAACACTCAAATCTCACACTCAAACAATCAAAAAAGAGAGAGAGGGAAGAAGTCGGTAACCCTTTTCCAGACAACAAAGAAGTTTCACCCCCTTATACAAAAAACGGCTCCCCTCCCGCCAACACCAACACCACACTCAGCCTGGAGCCTCGTCTCAACTTGCGGTGAACCACCATCGAAGGGCAACCCAGCACAGCGGAAGGGCGGGTTCCCACTCACGTATCACCGATTCTTGATCCCAGCCAACGGCATCTCGCATAGCGCACCAGAAAAAACGGGAACGGAGTGCTGAGGATGACTGTTGTACAGCTTACAATGCTTTCGAACCTCCCTTTTTTCTACACCGTCTCAAGTCACCAATGACACCCGACCCGACCGATACTGAACCCAAGCCCCTAGCATTTGCACCCTAGCCCCAAGCCAGTGAGTGACTGAGAGACAGAGAGGACGAGGCCCGGTCGAGTTGGCGCTTACGTTTACTGTACTGTACTGTACTGTACACGTTGAGGTGGCCTGTGGACGGTAAACGACTTTCTAGTCTGGCTTCAATGCCTTCAATTTATCTATTTCGAAGTACAGTACCTTAGACAACATTATTGCAGAAGAAACCAAGCCGATTAGAAATTTAAAAAAACGGTGTTTTCTTTTCTCTCCCTCCAACTCTGCTAATATATCCAACTCCAATCGCCCCAAAGCACCAACACCTCTCTCAAGCCCGAGAGCCTCGTCGGCGCTTACACGTTGACTCTTACTCTGACACTGGAACGGTACCTACAGCCAACCCAACCCATCGTCACCGAATCACCACCTGTGCCAGCCAAAAATATTCCGTCGGTTACTACCCCTGGATCTCAAAGCAATTGCAACTACCCAGCTGCATACACCATACACCGCATACACAGCATCCCGCATTGCATCCACGCCACGCCTCTACTTCTCTGCACACCGAAAGACCATCACACAAGACCTGACTTGACTAGTACCGACCATACCGTACTGTACCATCGTGGGTGGAGTGGGCCAACGGCCCAACATCAATCAGCCTTTCATGATCCATCATACTATACTCGTACACCGACATCCCAAAGTCTGTATCGTGCGTGGCCCGGTCCGGTGTAGTCGAGCTACTTGTACCCCACAAGAAAAATGGAATACCCCCACGCTAGTCCATTCCAATCTCAATCTCAATCTAAACCAGATCCTGCCTTTTACGAACCAAAAGTCGTCGTCAAGAGTTCACTCATCGCTCTAGAAGGACTGATTTGTTCCCCAGCCCCACAATCTAGAACGAGTATCGTAGGTACCCACTATAACATTGGTGAGGTGAGATACCTAGGTAGAAGTACTTGTCTTATCCCCATTCATCTCATCATTTTTTGCTTTCCCCGGAAGTTTAATTATATCACTTAGATTCTAGAAGAGTTTCTGTTTATTTCTACCTGTTTATAGCTTTACCTACTTTCCTATTCCCCTTCTACGATATACAGTACGGGACACCCAAAGTGAACCACACCAAAACCATATTTGACTAAAACCACACTTCTACCTACAACACCACTACAACAACAACAGTTAATAATTAGTTGAGTAGACAAAAAGATGCGCTTGAATTAGCTGAACGAAATGTACTTACTAGCTTTGATTTGATTAATTTATATAAAATGTGGGACTCACATTTGCCGAGTCTTGGCGTTTGTCTCAATTTTGGGCCGCCCCACTTTTCCTAATACGGCTTAACTAAAGAATATATAGAAATTCTAGTAAGTGCATTCCTATTCTTTTAGCTTAATGAGTATATAAGTCTATTAAGAACTAGGGCTTAACTATTATAATAACTAGTTCTCTACGATTAAATATAATAGTAATATAGTTTACTTTTGTCCGATAAGGCCGATACGAGGCTTATACGAGGCCGGTACAAGAGCTTTCCGAAGGGTAAAAAAGTCGTCTATAATATAAGGACTTAATTAATAACTTATTATGACTATACTCTATAACTATATTAAATAGGGCAAAAGATACGCCTTTATTAGCTAAACAAAATACACTTACTAGTTTTATTTATATAAAATTATATAAAATATAGGGCTTATATACGTAAAAGTCTTATTAGTTTTAGTTTTTTTAAGAAATTTTTTAACCCCCTTATAATAACACTTAACTAAGGCTTATATAAAAATTCTAGTAAGTATGTTCTTATTCTTTTAATCTAATTAGTCTATTTAGCTAATAAAAATATAGTTTATATGACTAATTTAAAGACCTTTCTGTCACAAATCACGTGCTAGCACGTGAGGAGTTAGTCCAGACGGGGTTCTGACAGGACAAACACATCATGGCTCTTATAGCAAAAAGGGATCGCTTAGGTTAGTTAAGCGGTCCAGGGATTTCTTTGTATATAAGTCACGTGATATATGCAGGTCGACTTCTCGCCTGGTCGAGAAGTCGATTATCGACTATGTCGACAGTCGACATTGTCGACTTCAGGAACACGAAGGTTCTATATAAGACTAGCACGTCTGCCATTAGATAGGAGCTTCGTGCTCAACTTAGTTATCAATCTTATCATATTAGTTTGACATCTTTGATACAAATTTGTATATAAGTCACGTGATATATGCAGGTCGACTTCTCGCCTGGTCGAGAAGTCGATTATCGACTATGTCGACAGTCGACATTGTCGACTTCAGGAACACGAAGGTTCTATATAAGACTAGCACGTCTGCCATTAGATAGGAGCTTCGTGCTCAACTTAGTTATCAATCTTATCATATTAGTTTGACATCTTTGATACAAGTAACGAGTTCACTTCCAAGTGAACAACCCGATAGTCTTCTTCTTATCATAGCATACCAACCAGCGAACACCCAGCCAAGTTTAGTTAGCCAGTTTGAGTATTCGTTACAGACTCGCACTTTACATTAGGAGGCTTATATCAAGGTAAGGCGAAGGAACAGAGTATACAGAAGGTGTAGGGGCAGGGTTTTTTAAGGTTTTCGTAGAGCCTAGGGATATTCGTAGTATTCTTACTTTTCCCTATATCCTATACTATACGAGTTAAGACGAGTAGAAGTACCGTATACCCTTTGGGTGGGCTTTACGCCCAGCGGCGTAAGACAAATAATAATACTAAAAAGTATTAAATAGGTAGTACTTATTAGTTAGATCCCTTAACCTTAGATTCTATACTAATTTATAACCCTTTTTTAAAGTAGTATAAGTAATAAGACCCGCTTTTTTAGGTTGTAACCCTAGTCAATCCTCGCCTAACCCTTGTATTTACGCCTTTCCAGTAGAACTTTTACTCCATATAATCGTAAACCAGCTTTCATAGGGTTCCTCCTTTCGCCCTCCTCCCTTCTTCCCTTCTCCCCTTATCCCCTTCTTCCCACCTACCCTTCTTCCCTACCTCCCTCTCCCCTTTCTATCTACTCTCCTTTCACATTACCATCACATCCCAAACAAACCCCTACTACACATTTCCATTTTCTCTTTCCTATTTACTATTTACTATCTACCAAGACACTATCCACCAAGACACTATCCACCAAGACACTATCCACCAAGACACTATCCACCAAGAAACCTCCAACCCTCCCTCTCCTCACTACTCTCACAAACATCCATCCCCCATTCCCCATCCCGCATTCCATAAAAAAAAAGGAAGAAAGTAATAAGTAAAAAAGCGGGAGAGAGGTAAGAAGAAGAGGGAGGTGGAGATAGATAGATAAATAGATAGAAGTATGAATAGATAGATAGATAGATAATAAATACCTTCTATTCTATTTTTTTTATTTTTTTCTTTCTTTCTTTCTTTCTTATTTACTTAGATACTTAGATACTTAGATACTTAAAAACTCGTACTATATATGTAGATGTATAAACTTATAGTCAGGGTATTTATCCATCTACAATAATCCCCTCGAATTCCCTCGAAAACGAAGAAGGAAAAGAAAGAAAGAAACCCCAAATAAAATCCAAAAAACATATATTTACAAAAAGAAAATTTCATGATTCATTGACCCTACCCCAATTATCCACATACTTCATTACACCCCCTCTCTCCTCATTCCACATTACCCTATCATGTACACACACACCTACTCCTCCATCTTAACATCCCCCTCCCCCTCTTCTTTCTTCTGGTGCTTCCCCAGATTCCTCAACAGATAACTACGCTTAAAATACTCATTCGGATGAATCAGCGTCTCCAACTGTGCCGCGCCCCAGGTGCCCTCCTCGCGAACCTTTTGGATCTCTTGTTTATGTGCGTATTCGAAGACCCTGTGTCTGTTAGTTAGGTGACTTGTGAAGATCAAAATATCAAGAGGGGACGGTGGAGGGTATGCGTGAAACAACAAGGGGAAGGAGAGGGAAATGGGGAAATGGGGAAATAGATAAATGGGGAAATGAGGGCAACAAACCGATTACAAGCCAAATGAAACTTCGTCTTCTCCTTATCCTCCCTCACCCCCCTCAGAGCCTCCTGATCCCTCACCCCCACCGTCTGCAGCAGCCCCATCAAATTCTCCGTGCTAAAATGCCGATACGGACACCCATGCGCCTCCCCAGGTCCAGGTGGATGCTCTGTCAAGATCTTATGACAACTAAACGGACTATATCCCTTGCCGCGTCGATTACTATCTCCGCCCACCTCTCCATACGCATGGCGCACGTTATACCGGTAGTCCTTGTTGAATGCATCGTCGGTGATCTTGTTGAAGCCTCCGCGCCAGAAGATTAGACATTCTTCGAGGTTCAGGCCGATGCCTTTGAGGAAGAGCGTGTATTGGAGACGGCCATAGTGTTTTAGGTGAGCGTCTCGACGGAGGGAGCGGTGCAGGTTTTGCATGCATAGGGGGAACGAGGAGGAGAGCGTGTCGATAGTGCGCGCGGAGATGTCGGCGCCTGCTAATGAGGTTTGGGTTGCGGAGTAGTTTGCGTCGGGGGTTGTGAAGTTTTGGGAGAGGTGGGTTAGGATTGGGGAGAGGCGGTCGTCTTCGTCTAGGCGGGGGAGGGCTCGGGATGTGAGCTATATACCTGATTAGCATTATTCCCTTTCTCAATAATCGATGATCTCCAATTTCCTCCCAGCAAAAGAAAGAGAAAGTAGAAGAGACCAACAAACCTCCAAAGCCCTCTCCAACCGTCCCGTAAACTCCGCAACAACCATACTCATCTGCTCCCGAGAAGGAACATATGCCATACCCCCCCTCAAAAAAACCCTCCGTCCCTCCACCAATTCCGGCACCTTTTCCCAATCAACCTTGAAATAACTCTCCTCCTCAATCCTCTTCGGATACCCACCCCCCGCAGCCCTCAACTCCTCAGCATACTGCCTCCTCTCCTCCTCCCCAACAGCCTCCCACTCCAAACTCAACCCCTCCACAAACCCCGCCCTCTCCTTCGAATCATCCCCCTGAAACCTGATACGAAAAAGCATCGTCTCAGCCCTCGCAAACCGCCTCCTCAAATCCTCCGTCGAAGCAAACGCCAGCCGGAGGATAAAATGCGAATAATGATCCTTCTGCCTCTCCGCTTGCAAAGCGGGGGAATTCGAGGTCGAGGAGGAGAGAGGGAGGTATTTATCGAGGAGAGGCTTCATGTGCGAGGCGGTTTCGATGGGGGATTTGTTGCGGAAGGAACAGGCTTCTAGTTCGGCGAGGACGCGTAGACGGTCGATGCCCCATTGTTCGAATTGCTCGAGAGTGATGTCTGCTGTTGGGGGGGTGGCGTAGAAGTTTAGACGGTGTTTGTATTCGACTGGTGCGTATGTGGGGGTTGAGAATTGTTTCTTTCGGTGGTCGAGGGTGGTTCTGCGTTTTATGTCTGGTCGGGACATGTTTGTGGTGGGAGTGTAGATTGTGTTGTAGTTCAGTTGCTAGTTGCTTTCTTTCGTATCCCAATCACTCTCTATCGTGGATCAATTGAAATCATATGACTCTCAAGCATCGCCGGTATTTTGAGGGAAAGGTGTTGTGTGGCTATGAAGCGTATTATCTAAGGTAGATGTGATAATGTTGGTGGGTTGAACGAAAAGATTCAATTAACGCGAGTCCAGAGTGACGCGTATGGGACGCGACCAGAACATCACCCGAAGAGAATCCCTGAACATGGTCAATGCTGAGAAATGCGCACAGCAGGTGAGAATGCGGGGATATCTGAGTATCGACGTACAGTATTCACTTCAGTTCCTCTCACCTTTCACCTACAACGCATCAAATGACAACGACAAGCCCCGGGAAACCACGAAAACCGAGAACTGGTCGGGCGTATGATTATCGTATGTAGAAACAGATTTAGCGTACGTAGCTAGAGTCGGCATTAGCGCTAGCATTCTAACCATCTACTTATCTAACGACATGGCATGAAGGGCGTACAAGTACAGTAGGTAGAATGTCAATGTCAATGTCAGTCAATATCAAGGTTAGTTACACGAGTCCACCGTTATCGCTCAGATTTAGTCATATCAACAACCTAAACACACCAAAGAAACCCCAACAATTGGTACAGATTGTCAAGTCAGGTCACGAGAGCACACCATCAGTCCTTTGATAAGAAAAGTCCACGGGTTTATCAAGAATCAGCAGCCATCAAACAATCTCCATTGTCTGCTCTGCAATTTTTGGCAACTAGGTTAAAAACCCACTAGGTAGGTAACTAAGCTAAGGTAAGTTAACCAGCCAGGCCAGAAAACCCACACTTTCACCCATCCAAACCCTATCAACAAGAAAAGCAAAAAACCCCACAACCCAACAAACAACAGAAGCCTCTCAAAAAGCACAACACAAATCATCTCGCAACCATAATACCATTCCCAACAAGTGGACTTTTCGGATCTCCAAGACTACCAGCGCCACTTCCACTACCAGTACTCCCATGTCTCTGTGCATCGTAATGTCCCCAAGTCGCTTGCCCCACCGGGAATGGGTGCATCGGAGCTGTAACCTCCTCGTCGCTTTGTGTAAAGCCGGACAAGTTACTGAGCATACTGCTACTCCTTCCACGAGTTCGAGTTCCCGATGTGTGAATGGGCATAGATGGCGGGGGGCCATAAGGTACTTGTGAGTACATGTTACCTGGATTTTGCATGGCTGCTGCGTTCCAGGGGTAAGTGGTATTGGGATGGTCAATCATCATATCAGATCCGTAACCATTGTTCGCATGAAGGTTTGGTACGCTGGTGGTTGGGCTTGCTGTAGCATAAATTTCTTGACGCTGCATGTTTTCAATCTGACCGTACATCAGTTGAAGAGATGCAGTTGCTTCGGCTACTTGTCCCGTGAGCCCATTGAGTCGATCCAAGTACATTCCTTCCAACTTGGCTCGCTCGATATGATTTGCTTGTCTCACGTTTTCCTTTCTCTGAGCCTCATCCAAGCCCCTGGCATTCGCATCGGTAATCCGCTCATGCTCACTAGCGAGTTTGTTGACTCTAGTTTGCGCGCGTTCATACTTTTGCTGAATATTCGAGAGCTCGTTGTTGAGATTCGAGAGGTCACGTTCGACGTTCTGCCTGGTACTGTTGACCTCGGAACGAAAGTGCTTTTGCTTTTCGGTCTGACCCTTGTATTCGCCCTTGCATGATGAGTATTGCGCAGCATCATCAAGAGGAATCACTTCAAGAGCTTTGATTTCCGCAATCAGACCTACGAGAGCATCTTCTGCTTGTTTTTGTTGGAGATTGTTTTGTTGAATCTTTTGCTTGACCCGATCATCATTTCCACCAGAAGAAGAAATGCTATTGGCGAGTTTATCAATCTCTTTTTTGATGGCGTTGACTTTGGCTCGTAACTCCTTCCGTTCGCGCTTCTGTCGATTCCGTTCTTCAGTCAACTTGAGTTCTGATGAAGCAATGGAGGTTTTGAGTGTTGTAGTTGGCGATCCTGGGCGTCTTGGAACTTGTGGATTGGGAGAAAGACCAATTGATGTGTCGGCGGATGGTGGTGCCATGGTCCAGACACTTGATGAGAATAGTACGGTATCGTCGACGGTACTAACAAACTCGCATTCAAAATCCGTGGCGGGGGCAAGTCCAAAAATTTCCCCAGTCCATCGCATATCCTGACCATCGAGCTTGTCTGGATTGATCATGGCCTTGATTTTCGTAGCGTGCCATACTGTCTTGTTGACCCGAACAAAAAATGGCTTGGATCGGTCTACCCCCAATGAATCGATACGCCTCTCATCGAGATCTGAAGATGGTGTGTGCTGTGGGAAATAACTCGTACTAAAACTAACCGCATCAGAACCAACATAAGTGATCCAAATACGATCCGCCTCAGCATTGAAAGGTGCATTTCCTAGATTGTTGATGTCTGTTGCATTTGTGCCTGCCGACTCGGCTGCTGTATGTGAGGTTTCGTATTCCTTTACCATCACTATCTTTGTACTGGCCAACGCAGCCCAAAGAGGTTGCCTAACGCGAACCTGTGCGCTCTGCTTCCTCTTCTTTTTGGAGTTGATGGTCGTAGTGGCGTTTAGTGGTATGGAGGAATCGTTCTCGGTAGTTTGCGCAATAGAATTGGAGGTCTCGCTGGCATTGTCTGCCAACGTTTTTCCAGCCTCTGGATCGCTGATTGAAGTTGCTGTATCTCTTTTTTCTCTTAAATTTCTCTGAATGTATAAATCACGAACAAAACGGACCAGCCCTTGCGCCAGAATGTGTATTGCCAAAATGCTCCGAACCCAGCCATGCGCATTCTTCTTACTCCCACCATGGGAAACCGGCTCGAGGGGATCATCTGGATCCGACGATCCCATCGAGGAAGTGGAGGAAAGAATAGCACGGAATCCGGATTGCTTCACATTTCCATTACGAGCGAAATGGGAGGAGGCTATCAGACCAAAGCAGACAAGGACATTTCTCAACCCCGCTTCCCTGCCACTGGTGCCACCTCCTAACGTCAAAGCAATCACGGTCTGAGCTAGGTCCAAAGCAACATCCTGAAGAGGGCTCCATAAAAATAGCCATACCATCAACACGAATAGATCCACCACCACAATTGTAGCTACGGATGGCGTACCCAACGTCCCCTCAAAAACATCCGTGAAGCTTAATCCCGAGGTGGTCGAGTTCGAAGGCGGAACAAAAGTCAATGTGGCAAAGAGGAGATGGACCAAAGATAGAAATGTTGGTGGTAGCTGTAGTAGGACGATGAGAATGGCAATAGTATCGTAGAGAGGACACGACCGCAAGACCGTCAAAGCTAGATTGAAAGGGCCAAGATCTCGATGGACAGCGGGATTCTTGGTAGCATTGACATCGATCCGTCGATGGTTTTCAGGAGATAGTCCGGCGTTGTTGTGGTAGGATTCGGATGAGGAGGATTCGGAGTAGGCACCAAAAGACGGTCTTCTTACAGGGCCTGCCATTTTATGGACCGTGGCAGGTTGGGAATCGGAGAGGGGATGCTGTCTCGCATGCCCGTTGGCTGGTGGAGGGGTTGCTGGCAGAGGTGGTGTTGAACAATTGCTATCGGGCTGCTTTGGGTGCCCGTTGCTATGTCCATTGCTCTTTTGCTTGGATGGTTGGATTCTTTTGCCGGGCGTCACAATACCTGCGTCATGGCGAGAATCGCGCTGGTTCGCAACACCTGGCTGTCGCTTTGCTGTGGGCTGGCCACGAGGCATACGACTTTGCTGACCCAGAGAAACTTCCGAGTCAGCGACCTAGAGCTGAAGCACCGCAGCCTTGACCACTCTGTGAATGGGAGGCGAGGTCGAGGATCTGACGCCGGTATGTATTTTGGAAGTTGAAGTCGGATTCGAAATCGATGTCGATGTCGATGTCGTCGTCGACCGAGGGCAAGTACTTTGTGTGAGCCTCATTCGAGTGCGAAGGCGTCGCGTGTGGTGGGGGAGGGGAGGGTGCGTACGGAGGGAGCGTGGAGTAGAGTTGGTCGTCTTGTTGTTTTGCTGGAAGCTGAAGTCTGTTGAAGAAGTATTGGTGTGTGCTAGCTAACCTTAACTCAGTCTCTGCGCAGCCTCTGTATGGGCCACTCAGGCTGCTGTAGCTGCTGAAAGGCCGTGGCTTCCTCAGGCCACTACGAGCGGGCACCCCTTGTCGACTGGGTGCAGCCCTGTCCATCCGGACTTTTTTACAGAGGGAGAACTCCGGGAGAGGACGGGAACCAGTGATAGCCGACGATGGTTCTGGATTTTGATGGAACCGCATTAATTAACGGTACGAGCGAGAGTTTTGACAGACTGACACTGAAAGGGCCCCCCCAGCGTCTCCCTGCGCTTAGGTTGGTTGGTGAGTGGTTAGTGGTGGCAATGTAGGTATGGTGGGTATGGTGGAGTGCAGGTGGTCTTGAAAATAGAATGGTACTGGTAGCCTTGGAGCACTGTTTTTATTCTTTCCGGGTCTTGCACCTGCATCGAGAGCATCGGTACGGATATCAGCAACAGCAACAGCAATACCATCAGAATCAGTATCAGCATCAGCGAGCAATGGAGCATCCACCGACACGAGACCGACCCCGTGCTGAGCTAAGCCTGAATCCGAGTCTGAGCCTGAGCTTGAGCTTGAGCCTGTGCCAGAGTCTCTGAAACCCGGGGATCATCAGGGCCATCTCTTGTCTTGCTTTGCCCTCTCCAGGGTTCTCCGGCTTCAAAGGCTTCAATTGGAGCAGGTAGGGCGTGTCACCCACTCTCGTACCGCACAAGAATGCAGTACCTCCGTACAATGCTCACGATAGTACGAGATAGCCGCAATTATGTGGTCACTGGTCACCCCGCCTGCAAAAACCTGCAATCGCGCTCCTTCCAGCGCGGAATAGCTTCATTTTGCAGTCTCAAGGCTCGTTCATTTGTTCCTCCTTCTCCAGTCATACGCTCCGTCGAGATCCCTCTCTTGGCATGCTCCATACCGTACTTACACCAAATCCGGCATCTCCTTTTGACTGGTTTATCCCTTCCCTGGAATTCCACTGTTTGGACCCCCGAAAATCTCTGCATCAAATTCTCTTTCCAGTCTCTACTCTCTACTCATTGGTCCGCAAGACAAGAAAAGCAGGGAACGACAGCTCCCAGTCTTACCTACCGGACGGATAGTCACGAAGGTCCAGTCCAGGAACCTCTTGCACCAATTCTTAGATTAATTCCGATGCTTACTTTCAACCCCCAAGCCACCCGCAATGTTTAAGCATTGGAGAGATACAATCACTACCGTTTCCAGTTCAGAGTAGCCTGAGTAGGGCTGTCGTCACGCCTCGCTTTTCAGAAAGAAGAAAATCCTCCGGCCAAGGGTTGTTGGAATGCAGGGGCAAGCGGCACAGTTCACACCACCAACACCGGGGATGAAGGTGGCACGACAAAAACATCACGCCCTAATTACAACATATTTGATCAAATCATATCCCAAGGCCAACATTTTGATTCTCATAATTCTGGAATTTCTTTGGCTCATTCGTACTACGTCGTACAACCAATAAACTCCCTCCTTCGTCCAACAACAATAAGATCAACAGCATCACTTCCACTTCCACGGACGAGGGTGGGGTAAGAAAAAGCCTACTCCAGTTACACCACACGGGCATTAGAAGAGGGATATGCTGTGGGACAAAGAAAACCATCACCTCGCTTTTTTCGTCCGGTAGAGATATCCTCACGGGAGTAAACACCCACACCGGACCTCGCACATGTCACACGACCAACATCATTCCCTTCTCCTACCAAACTTCTCCTACCAAAGTACTCCTACTCTTCCGTGTGTACTCCATACGTACTCGAGTACACGTCACAAAGAAAACAATGCAAACAGAAGCGCCAGTACAGTAGTTCTGCTGTAAGTAATCATACCTGCATACCCTCCTTCAATAAGGTTAGGTCGCGTTGCGTTATGTTGCATACCCCTCTCTGTCGATCATCCATTTCATCCATCCCCATACCAATTCATCCTGTCCAGTGCAATCCGGTACTCGAGTGCCTCTTCACGAGATAAGATAAGATAAGTAATATCTTTCCTCTTTCGGAGGTAACCACGTTATTATGCAGAACTCCACCCTTTATCACATCTCCCCCCTCCAAACAAATGCTCAGGTAAAAAAGTGCCAAAGACTGCTTACCTACTTACTGTACCTGGGAAGTGGGAGAAAGACATGGTATCCCCCTCCCCTGTTGTTCGTGAAATCCAGTGGATTGTCGGCACTTGCTATTATAACTTTACTAGCGGAAATGGTAGCGGAGTGAACTTGGAAACGGAGTCCCGTGTGTGTATACATGTTTAGCGGACAAATAGAATCATTCAGGAATCGGCTTATCAGTCTTTCTAAGAGAAGAACCGAAGCGATGTTCGCTAATAGCTAGCGAACAAGTAAATAACAAATAGCTGTTATTTGGAAAACATTTTCCAGGTACCTGGCAAATACCTACACATCTCTATTCTAACAACCGATCGACCGATCGTACGAGACGAGGCAGCGGTCATAAAAGTGCGACTTGTAACAAAACTTTTCATTATTGCCTTTCTTTTCTAGAAAAGTATGTATGCTGTGATACACCAACTGATTTTATCGGCAGCGTAGCCTCTAAGTCCTCTCGCTCCTCATACATCTGGAGCGAGGGAGGGGTTTTAGTGTCACGAATCACGTGTTGTCACGGGATGAGTGAAGACCAGGCGGCGTCCTGACAGGTCAAGCACATCACAAGCTCTTATAGCAAATAGGGATCGAATAGACTAGCTAGACGATCCAAGGATTTCACAGGAAGAAATCACGTGATAAGCTTCATCGACATTATCGTTGTCGATGAAAGCGATGATCGCCAACATCGACAGTCGATGAGAGTGATCAAGACAGAACGAAGGTCCTCTATATAAGACTGGCACGTCTGCCATTAGATAGGAGCTTCGTGCTCAACTTAGTTATCAATCTTATCATATTAGTTTGACATCTTTGATACAAGTAACGAGTTC